CAGATTTTTGACCGTTTCACTTCGTTTTTTCGCCATTTTCCCACTATACAGCACCCTGCTAGCATTATAGACCGAGTACCAAATTATCGTGCCATATGCCTTCAAGGGAGAGAATTTTTAGACTGAGAATTGAGTACAAGTCAGCCTGACGCATCATTCATCTCACCATCAGCTGTGTACGGTATCCGGCACTTACGCTGAAGTTGAAGCACAAAAACTTACAGTCAAGTTACGCGCGCAAGTCATGGCATGGACAAACTATGTAGGTGCTTAGGGTTAAAGGCAGTTGGCACGATGATTTCCTGCTCGGCCTAAAATGCTAGTAGGGCGCTATATAGTGGGGAAATGGCGAAAGAACGGAGTGAAACGGTCAAAATCCTGCGAAGAAAGAGCCTCCGTTCTCAATGTAAAATCAATTTTGGACGAGTTTCCGTAGGCATCTTGCCAATAACCGCTACCGAAGGTACGGCTGCATATGTGTATCACGGCCGCTTCATACCAACCCTTCGCTTCATAATTTGCTTAGCAAATGAATCGATTAGAGCGTCAGGAACGGTCGTCCATTTGTGGGCGGGCGGGCGTTTGGGTCGGAATGTTGTGGCTTGATAGGGCCCTTATAAGGGCACCTTCCTTGGAAAAGGCATTATGCAGCGCCTGCTCAGGGTCGCGGAATTCCGTCCTGCCAGGCGTATTAATCCTACTCGTCTTGGGGATTTATCGTGCCAACTGCCTTTAAAGCTACCCCTGCAAGTGCTGGTCAAACTACCCCCAGAAGCTAAAATTTCATAAAAACGTAAGGTAAGTTTCAAAGAGTGGTGTCCTGAAGAGTGAATAGTTTCATACAAGTTTCTGGCTAATCCCACATTGCGCTCCCCTTCTTCTACAGTTTCGAAGAGTAGTCTTCTTCTACAGAATAGTTTCTTTCTAGAGAAGTGCGGCGGGAGGGTAGGGTTTAAAAATCTAAGGACTGATTAGTGCCTAATTTGCGTTATGCTGCCTATAGAGAAAGTGCTGTACATGCGGGTGTCCATTAAATGAATTGGTTCAAATTGTCTAATGGTTAATTAGCGATGGTGTACTGTAGTTTCTTGTAAAGAAACGGCGATATATGAGCCCTTCTTGTGAATGTCGCTCATACAGGCTTGCTCATTTGTGACAAGCGTTATATTACTGCTATTAGAACAGCGTTACACACGGTGAACATGGAAGTGACAGAGTTCTCGAGCTAATTCAAGGAGCTTATGATTCACTCTCAAGATAAAAAACTTAACAGATTTGTGTCAGCGTCATGGGAAAAACTTACGAATAAGAGCGAAATACTGAAAAAAAATCCAAAATGATTCACACGAACCCGCCTTGCGCAATTACTCCTCCCAAATTGACGAATGCGCTTGCCCTGGTCATAGAAACTGAAAGCACTGCGGCGGTATTAAGCCCCTGTAGTTATTCGTCTACAAGCTTGTCTCCTAGCTACTGTGATCACTAATGCCGATCCCTAGACTTCCTATATGGTCAGAAGTGTCAACTAATGTGAGTAACGAGCCTTTAGATAGCCTAGGGGCTCTCGTGATGGCACTCTTCCAGTAAGCGTTTAGCTCACATGCCATGCTCTGACCGTGATCCGAACCTTATCGTACTAATTTAAACACAATGCGGACCGCCGATACCATGCGTGCCACCTCCAATCATTTCATAACTTTCGATCAATAATTCTTTAGTAATGCAGCGTTCAGACCTCGCGACTGGCTGCTGTCGCGAAGTCTGAACGCTGCCTAACTTCCTTTCTTCTTTCAATCGCTCATTAGGTATGTATATTTCGTAAATGAAAACATAACAACATTAGAACATGAAAGAAAAGCCAAATAATTAGATAAAACACAGCATGGAGACGAATGTGTGACACACCATGTGTGTCACGCGGTCCGGAACGCGTTAAAGGCATATGGCACGATAATTTGGTACCCGGTCTAAAATGCTGGTAGGGTGCTATATAGTGGGAAATGGCGAAAAACGAAGTGAAACGGTCAAAAACCTGCGAAGAAAAGCCTTCGTCTTAATGACTCAAAAAGCAATTTCGGACGAGTTTCCCGTAGGCATCTTGCCAATAACCGCTACGGTAGATACGGCTGCATGTATGTACTCATATATCCATGCAGCACCGCAGCCGCTTCATATCCCTTCGCTTCATATTTTACTTCGCAAATGAAGCAATACGAGCATCAGGTACGGTCGTCCATTTGTGGGCGGGCGGCGCAGTGGGCGTCCGGGTCGATATGTCGAAGCTTGATAGAGCCTTATAAGGGCTTCATGCAGCGCCTGCTCAGGGGCGCGAAATTCCGTTCCGGAAAACTATCTTCACGTTAGAGGGAGAAGCGCGACCTATCTCCGCAGAAAACGGCGCTCCCGAGGCACATAGCGTCCACCAGATTTCCAAAAATCTTATTCCTTTTCCTGATTCAAGTGGAGACAGCCCAGTGCGAGAGGCTGAAAATGCATTCCCGAGAGGGTCCATGCTTCCTAAAACCCCCTATCCATAAGAGGTTGTCGCTTTTTGTAACGGGGCTTGACAGGATAGCATTTCTCACTCCCCTTCTCTAAGCGACTCAATCATTACATTAGGGTCAACCACAGGAGTTCAAGAATGAGTTTTATTTAATGCTCTCGCGGAAAGAGGGAAACTTCGCGAGGGTTTCACATAACCACGGTTCTTGTTAGTGACCATCTGCCACCAATCCGGAAGTCGTTGGACACCACCATATTGGCTCCGTTGCGTGCCATCTCCAATTACACCCACGAGCTCCTACTTTTGTTTTTGTGCCCGAGTCTTCTTCTTGAAAGCTAGCTGCCAAAAAATCGATGATCTTCTTGAGAGCTTTCTCGGGGAACAATTTACTGAGTCCCTTACAACCATTTCTCTAGGAACCATTTCTCAAGAAACGTTCATCAAAAATAATTTTTCAAGACTACTATCTGTTTTTTCGCCACTCTCTGTTTTTCGTCCTTTCAATGACAACATTTGGAGTCCATTTTTCATATACCAGAACCAAGGAGAACTTGACTGTCCATTGACGTACTGGACGCTGCCAGCGCCATCTATTTTTCGAACGCTTAGCACTTTCAATTTTATATCAGCTCTTACTTACCCCTCCTAACTGCCACCTAGTTCAAAACAGTGCTTTGAACTTAACAAAAAAAAAAAAAAAAAAAAAAAAAAAAAAAAAGCCACATTCGCTTCCAGCCCAAACTAGAAGTAGTGATTCGTATTTCAGACACCTTCGCACGCAATGAGAATTACTTTAGTTGTACTGTAGTTTGCTGCGGACGGTTGGGCGTGTCAGTGCGGCTGCGTTTGGCGCGGTGCCAAACTCGTTCTCCACCAGTTGTTGAAGCGGGCAAGTGACAATACTGTATCATATCCTTCGTATTACTCGTTTTCTACCACTTTTTGTCGCATGCGCGCTTCAACAAAAAACAGAGAACGCTTTGACGACGTGACACACTCATACTTGCCTGACACGCCCAACGTCCGCAGGCGAATAGAGGTATAAGCAAATAGCCGCTACAGACTTCATCAATAAGCGAAATGTGGAAGGATGTTCTTACAGGGTTGGGACATCTCTTGTACTTATTTCTTTAAGGGTGAGTTACCTAGCTTACATGATTTCGTTGTCCAAGAAACCTACCTACGAGTTACAATTGCGCTCTGCCTTTCAATCGGCCCATACTTGTTGCTGGCAAGTATAGCGCGGAGCTCAGACCTGAATGTGGACTTCCCTGAACGGAATTACGGGGGTGTTTCAGAGGAGACAGACTTCCTCCAAAAACGAGTTCCATGCGTAAAATTGCTCCGAATATCGAACGACTTGCATAAAATTACAATTGAATTGCTGATGTGAAGACTGAGTGAAGCCAACCCCTTAATCGTAAACCTATGATGCCACATTGGGAGTACCTCCCGATTTCCGTTTTGGGAGTGGGTACGCTCCTTCCAAGAAACTTCCATATTTTCAGTCACAGAGGTTGACACTAATTCGAAGGTAAGATGACCACGAAAAGATACACTAGCTAGTTGAGACGGATGACTTCTTAATTGTCGTCAAATGACAAACTGAATGGTACATATCTCTTTTCAAGGGCCACTTCGACCTACAATGTATCTTTTCGTGGTCATCTTACCTCCGAATCGGATCTTAGGCCAAAAACGTTTTGCAAGCGCTGCAATCACGGTCGCGAGTCAGTAGCATATCGTGTTCTGAGTGGGACTGGCCGCACTAAAAATAATTCATTTTCCATGTGCTCGAAATGCTCGGATGTGCAGTGAACCGCGAAATACCGTATTAAGAGAATTGCGCGATTACTTATTTCCCTGCTCCATTAGTTTGTCACCTACCAATAAAGACTGGAATCGAGAAAAAGCTCTTTTCAGAAATATTCCTCCGGACATGGTCGATGTCGAGCTCATTCAGTTGTGCGTGCCTTATGGTCCGCTTTCCAACTATATGATGCTTAAAGGAAAAAGTCAGGTGAGCATCATACTGAGAAGAAATTCTAGCGTTATTGACCTTGTACTGTCCCAGCTCATCCACAAATGACCAAATTCACTGAACATTTACCCCAGGGGCAGCTTCACGTCGTGCACACGAATACCACATTACCTTTTCACGAAATCCCTGGCACACGCGCTACTTTGTCAACATGTCTCGAGTCTTCAGATTGGGTAAAAGTTTCTCCCCAGGGAAGTTTGACTCCCTTAACACGAACACCATGGGGCGCCAAGGGAGTTAAGGATGAGGGGGGAAGGGGCGGAGAGGTACATATGACCGAATGGCCCTGCTTCTGCTCGTCAGCACCCTTCACCCGAGACAGAACTCCCTTCATTTGCTCAGGCTAGGCCTTAGAAGTAGCAAGGGAAGAAAAGGATCGCCATATCAGACAAGGCAGGTTCTGCCATCGGGGAAAGATATTCCATACGCCCTTCCCCCCACTTGAGGTTTCTGTTTCGGTACGATTTTTTCCGTTTCCTGTTCTACATAACATTCTCCTACATTCTCCCAATTTGCTAACGCGTTTCAGTTTTTTCAAAACATGGGGGATTCTCCCGTCCGCCCCCTCCCCCCTACAAAACTGCCGTATTACAGTCGAGGGAAGGGTGGGGTGGGCGTGTACAACACACGCGAAACGGAACAACCTAGTAAAATCAACATCCGGAAACATTTTTCTCGAAGGCAAACACACGAGCAACCCCTCAGTGACCAAATATGACCCCCTCTTTGATCGCAGGCATCCAGATGGTGTGATGCCTGGTCTCGCCGTGTTAGAACTGCCCTTGCGCTCTGCGCGAAACCATTAGGAGTCCACGCTACATGCAAGGGGATCAGAGAGAGCATATCGCCTGTAAAGCAGACACCAGGCAGTTTCGTGCCAAGCAGATGCGATTTTCCTGTTCGAAGCTCTAACTACTGCTGGAGGCAACGGCAACGTCTCAGCCATTTTCTTTTTATTTTTTTCTTTCTGAGGAAAAAGTCCGTGAAGAACTGGCCCGTTTTTGGAAGACTGGGACAGTAAAAAATAAACAGCGCTGAGTTTGCAAAAGTGAATTGATCTGTAATCTACTTACCCACTGACGTCCAAAGTGATTTACCTACCTCCTGTTATTCCTGAAGAGTAATTATAAATAACAGCGATTTCTTGTGATCATCCCCTGCAGCTCTGTAATTCAGCTGAGAAATATTGTTGGTCGAGAAACTAATCAGTGTACGACATTAGTGAATGGGTTAATGTGATCGCGTTGGACCATATGGTCCTCATAGATGCAATTTCTTCGGCGCTGATTGAATACACTGCCCATATAATTGGCGAAGCTTTTCAATCGCTCAGCATAAAAGCCTTTATAAATTATCGTAAATAAAGTAATTAATGATTTAACGAATGCTTAATAATAAATAATTGAATAAATAAATGGATAAATGACTTTGATTATTTATGGAAAGCTCTAGACAGTCCTCATTTCATGAGCCAGGAGATGATGGATCTAACACTTTTATAAGATGTTTTCTCAAATGGCAAATGATGGGGAAACCCGTGTTAGTGCGTTAAGTGACATCAGTAGCACCTCATGTGCTCTTCATATCCCGCAGGTGGGATGGGCGTGGCTGCGTATTTCATCCGAACTTGGAGCCGGTCGGTTGAATATTGAGTTGTCTCTAATGGGAGTATTCCACGAAAAATGCATACTTCGCCATTTTGACACGTCTCGGACCGCATGACACACACGGTGTGTCACAAATTTTTCTCTCTGCGCTGTTTCATACAGTCCATATGTCTAATATATTTAATGTTCAACAGTTATCAGACTGCGTCTTAATGAATTGAGTGGTTATCGATGTGGAAAGTGAGGAAGTGATGCGAAACTCCTGACAGAGGGTGGGTAATGACAGTCGGATGAAGGACGCAGCCACGCCCTCCCATTTCCGTTTGTGACGTCGACGACACGTCATCTATGAGCACAGCATTTTGAACCGTGAACCACTGCTACAGCACCGCTTTACTCTTCATATTCCCAGCTTACTCTTGCATATATCATCGCGAGCGTTTACCTGTTTACGAGAAGACCGTTGGCCTGTTTTGAAAAATTTCAAGTCAGACATTTCAGAATTTTAATGTTTTTGCGGCATATTAGAATGTACTTGAAATGCAGTTCGGCTTGATGGGGGCATTTTGCTGGCTCCCGTCGATGCCTCCCGTGGTGACCTGTAAGTTCCTGTAGATCAGTGCAACAGCATGAGAAGGTTCACCAAGCTGAGACAACTCAACTTCAACTGAAACTAAGGAGAGAACTAGGAGAAGTTCGAAATGCCCCGTCCCTCCCCACTAAGCCAGAGCGATACCTCCTTAGATTTCTTGGATTTTGCACAACCTCAATATCATCTTCTCAGCTCGCGTCCATGTAGCACACGTAATAAATACTCAAATATTCTTCCCTACGAAGTTATTCAGTCAAAACAAAAACAGTGCATTGAATAGCCTCATTCCATTTGTAATTCCCATAGTATCAAATTCTGTCATTCAATAACACCTCGTGCCTCTTTGGGCTTTCGTACTTGGTACGAACATCCGTTAAAAAATTGAAAAAAGGGTGACTGAAAACGCCCTGAAACCTAGGAGGTCAGCTATATTGAGTGATCGCCCAAATACGTCCGCAGGAACCACGCTCAAGCTGAAGGTCCGGAAATCCGAGCTAGAACTCAGACAACAACCACTAGGAGACTCTTACACGCCCTTCGCCTGCTGTTCGACTGTCAAATTTTCCTTGGTCTGCTCCGCCAATAATTCCAGCGCTACCTATTTTTCAACTCGCAAGAGGGTCTACAAGGAGAATCTGCGTAAAGGCCTTTTGTAAAATGTTTACCGAAATTTTAACTATCGGATTCTCCAAATTTTTCAGTCGAGTCAGGCGAAATGCGAAACGTCATGTAAAACTCTCAGTTTAAACTACGAATGAACTTCAGTAATTGTGTAGATTCGAACTACAGTCTGCGGACGCTGGGGCATTTCAGGAGGGCTGAGTTTGGCGCAATGAAAACCTATTCTACACCCCTTGTGGTCGCCTGCCTGTTCCACCACTGGGAGAGAACAGGCTGCGCCGCGCCAAAGCCAGCCCTCGTGAAACGCCTCGGCGTTCGCGGCGAAGAAAACTGCATCTACTCACCACGGTTCGACATAATACTTGTACTGAATCTCACCGAAAGTGGTATAGTGATATTTTCATGGGTTCTGATACCCGGAAAAATTGTAACTAAAATTTCTCTGGTAAAGGTACATAAAGAGAAAAGAATAAGTACCAAGAGATAATAGCCACGCGTCTTACCTTACGGCCACGAGATAGAGAATTCCTTGAAGGCTATTCTTCTAGTCCTTCGCTTTCATTTTCCAAGAGAAGAAAATTGGTAACCTGTCCCTCTCGATTCTCTCAATTTAGGCGTTTGTCGAGTACGAAGACGAACACAGTGCGGTCGGATTCGTCACGTCGATGAACGCGGTGCCAATTCAGGTAAGCGACCTGTGATTGTCAAAATACGTCAAATTCACCCAAACACGTAAAATTAGTTTTTAGGCGTAGTTCGGTTTAGGGGGAGGGAGGGGGGGGAGCATTCGCACTTTCGCTACTCCCCAGTGTCGTGTCGAGCCATCAAGTAAAGAGTTCTTTAAACTCGTGAAGTCATGAAGCCATACCAATTGAAGTTTGTAGAGAACATTGTCAGATTTTCAAAGAATATCCGCCAACGCCTGCACGCTAGGGTACAAAATGCCCCCTCCATGCCGAACTGCGCCGTCTTTCGTGATGATATTTTGGTTTTTGCCGACCTATAAGGCGTAGTTTTACTTCGTTCATCTTTCCGATTTCTTCTCAACCTACCCACCCATTTACCAACGTTCAACAAAGAATCATTCTATCCGTGAGAAGGTGAAAAGCAGTTCACTGGGGACCTCAGAAATCCTATCTGCAAGTTCTCCGATAACCTGAAACGAATACAGGGCTAGCTCAGAGTCCTGAAAGA